CACATAAAGATACACGAGCATCGTGTTGCTGATTTTTTTAATCGCTTTCCATTGTTGCCGAAACATTTACCAATGAATTAAGACAAATAATGTTCAATGACAATGTCACAAAATATTATTATTAATGGTTTTGCATTGCGCATGCGCCGATCTGTATACTACATTTTTTTTGCCAATTTATTTTTTGACTTTCTACAAAACAAAAATATTTAGCTTTATGCATGAGTATTGAGATATAGTGAAAAGTATGCGTTAAGATTTTTGACGACGATATTTTTTTTTGGGACCCATTGTAGGCCTATCTAGAAGTATTTTGATGGAATATTTTTTCAAAAGCAAGCTTGGTCATTATTTTTTGTAGAAACAATAGATTTGCAATATAAAAAGCAGTGCCACCATGTATCCAGAAATGTTAACAACTAAAACAAAAATTGTGTTTATGGCATTATCTCGAAACAACCTGAATTTTTTAGGCCATGTTTCTGACCGACATTTTTTATTGCTACATTTGGTCAACGTATAAAATAACGTGTTTTTTTCCGAAAACAAATGCAACTTGTTTGTAGTATTGGGTATTAAAACAGATTAATTAAACACAATAACTGTATCCTAATTGAAGCAAACAAAGTATAAAAGACATACAGACAACAAAAAATATTTGCTACCTACCTGGATAATTTAGAGCGTTTACTATAACATGTTATTTTCTTCGCCTTATGTTCCCTGTATGCCCAGCACAGATAATGTCAATTAAATCAATCCCATGCATGTATCAATTTTTATTTCATGTCACGAAAAAAAGTATCGAGTGATTGAATCTGATTTTCTTATAGACTTTAAGCTTGGCATTTGGATTAACAATTGTTGAAAAATTCTAATGCTATTCACAGCAATTAGAATACACTGGTTTTTATGAAACGATTGCATTATTTAAACGTTACAATATGTGAGAATATGTAAAAGTAACAATTGACTGGCTATGAAAACAGTATGCATAAAACCTCATTCTGAGGATTACCAAAAGCACCACCATTGTTGATAAATACTATCTTTTTTTCGCTTAAGCTTCGTTGTGAAAAATAAACATGATTTTAATTACTTTCAGTTGAAACAGAAACGTGCCCACAGTAATGAAAAAAAGTGGAGTTGGCTGTTGTTTTTAAAGCCTGTAAAAGTACGACAAGTGTTTCTTGATTAAAAGACTCCAAATTATTTGAAGATTTCCATTGTTCTTAATCAGCATAACTTGATTGCATTCAAGAAACTCACTTTGAAAACATCAGTGAAAGTGTGAGCCCATTAGATGGTAAAGAAACAATCTTAACGAAATCAATCAAAACAAAGTACAAATTCCATTCAAGTGAGAAGGGTCTTTCAACTGGTTGGAACTGTCCTTTGTCACTTTATCATTTCAAGTGAATTTCTTTGTATTGACTTTTATTTGGATGCCATATTTTGGCATCCCTGCTGACAGCATATCCTTGGATAATGTCTCCAGCCGGCACATGTACATGTAAGCTGAACAAGTACGCTTCCTGGGAATAGGTAGACTCCTGCAAGAAATCAAAGAAAAGGTTTTAATGGACCTTCCTGCATGTCAATCAACAGTGCACATTGACCTATCAGATCACCACTTTTGATCAGGTGACCACAGTAGCTCAGTCAGACTGGGTCACAAGACTTATTGCTCACCCCGCCCCCATTTTTGCATCAGCGGTTAACACCCCCCCACCCCCCAGATTATTTTGTAAAGAGTGCCCTTTTTACACAAGTGACCTTTTAGTTTTTACACAAGCGTCCTTAGTGTTGTTTAAAAAGTTTCTTTTTTTCGCCAGCGGCTTCAAAGAATTTTTGGTATTTCATGTGAATGTCAGCAATTGTGCCGCCATGAAAATCGCCACCCATTGACCTACCGCCGTTTGCGAGTTAACACAGCCCCTTAGACAACTCTATAAGCCTTTTCACTGATACCGCCATCTTTGAATTATTTTTTCGAGGGGGGAGGCATTACAGTGAAAATACGTCTCATCATGCAACTGTAGCTGAGATTGATGGGATGTCTTTTCATTGTAATGCCCACCCCCCCACCCCCCAAAAAAAAACAGGCTCATGAAATTGTGTACGTTAAGTTTTGTTTGTCTCACATTTTGGCGTTCTGCGTCCATTTGTATATCATGTTTAGACAAATTTTCACAAGCTGCATTGACGCAATTCCACCGTGATAGGTTAATTGTCCGATAGTGGCCATTATCGCCGGTTTGAAAAGCACCCCATAGGAAGATGGTACCCAGCCCGTCCCCCTACGCCCCACTTTTTGATTTTACGGAGGCCAGGTGACTAGTAAAAAAAACCCACTGTTACATGTACCTTCAGCACGAATTGGCGAGTGCCTTTTCATGTCTAAATGACCCCCCCCCCCTTCCCATAAAAAACAACTTGGCTTAAAATCGTGCAATCTCTATAGACATTAAAAGTAATTTTCACAGCCCTCAAATGGCGAGCATGTGGTTTTAACAGTGGTGGATCTA